CCTTATTTTTCCATCAGAGTCGACCTTCCATGCCCCAAAGGCTGGTGGGGGAACCCAGTGTGTGGCCCTTGTCACTGTGCCGTCAGTCAAGGCTTTGATCCGGACTGCAACAAGACCAATGGCCAATGCCAGTGCAAGGTGAGGAGCCACCAGTTTGTCCCCACCTCCCTTAGACTTGAGCCCAGCAAACTGACCACGAATGCACAGTATGGTTTACATACAAACATGAGTCTGCACACATGGACAGATGCATGCATATCATATACACACACACGCCTGTATTCATATGCACCCCTATATAAGCACAAATATCTACATGCATTTGTACCTGTACAGAATCATACATACGTGCATACATATACCCAACTATGCATGCATATAAATGTTGGGTTGTGCATGCTTTTAATCCCAGTACTTTTGAGGCAGAGGCAGGTAGATTTCTGAGTTCGAGGCCAGCCTGGTCTACACAGAGAAACCCTGTCTTGAAAACCAAAGCAAACAAACATATATTGGGTTGCTCACCTGTGCTCTGGGAACACTCCGGGACTTCTTACATCTAAACTGGTTCAGACTCTCCCTTTGTGGGACCTAGAAGCCACTGTAGTCTTTCTTCAGCCCCACATCCAGTGAGTAACTACAGATCAAAGCATTTCTGTACAGGTTGCTGCATCTTTGCCATCAGTCTTGGTTTTCCTAGTCAGCTGCCTTCCTGCCCTTTTACCAAGCTGGCACTTAGTGATGACAGTTTTTATAATCTGGAGGAAAGAGGATATTGCTCAGAAGGTAGAGCTCATACACTCAGCATTGCACAGACCCTGGATTTGATCCCCGGCACCCCCTCACCCATAAAAATACACAAGCCATACCCTGTCTCATTATCCAGACCTAATGTGTGTGCAGCTTGGGACACCTGGTCTCACAGCTTCTGAATATGCTCCTGTGTACTTAGCCACAGTTGGGGGGAGCCCCGCTCCCAACCACAGATGCCTTCAGAGTTGCCACCAAGTGATTGATTACTATTGGGTTTGAGGGTAGCAATGGTCACTCAGTAAGGGACATGTTGTCAAGGAAGGAGACAGGGTGAGAACCCAGGGAAGGAAATTGTCACTATGGGCTCCTGGTGATGCTTCTCCAGTGTTAGTCTTGCCCGAGAGCTCCACAGTGATCCCACAGTGATACAGGCCTTGTGCCTCGAAACACTCTAAGTGTCAAGTTGAAACGAATGTGGATGAATGTGGCTTAGGCCTGGCCTTGCATGCTTAGAGTGGGGGCAAGGGGAAGGAAGAGGCATGTATACAGCATCATAGGGGGAAATGCCTACAGCTTTTCTCATCAGAACTTAAAGTGCACAGGCAAGATGGCTCAGCTTTAGAAGTACTTGCACCATAGTCTGACTTCAATCCCCAGATTCCACAAGGCAGCAGGCATGAACAGCCCTAGAGTGGTCTTCTGACCTCCCGACAGGACACTGTACTCACACATACACACATACACACACACACACTCACACACACGCACACACACACACACACACACACACACACCATACACCATACACACACACACACACACACACATGCACACACACATGTACACACATACACACACATGCACACACACATGCACACACAAACACACACATACACATACACATGCACACACACATGCACACACATACACACACATGCACATACACATACACACACATACACACATACACACACACACACACACACACACACGCATACACATACACATGCATACACATGCACATACACATACACATACACACACACACCATACACATACACACACACATACACATGCAATCACACATGCACATACACACACACATACACATTCACACACATTAACACATACACACACACACACACATACACATACACACACACACACCATACACATACACACACACATACATACACATGCACACACACATACACATACACACACATACACACACATACACACATACACACACATACACATACACACACACGCATACACATGCATACACACGCACACACACATACACACACATGCACATACACACAAACACACGCACATACACATACACATACACATGCATGTACAAAATAAACATTTTTTAAGTTAGGGAAAGTTTTTAGTTAGGTGTGGTACTAGACACCTGTAATTCCAGCACACAGGAGTCTAGGACAGAAGGATCATGAGTTCAAAGCCAGCCTGGACTATAAAGGGAGTCCCTATCTGGGGGTAGAAAAAAATTTGCTTTGGAATAATTTTGAGTAGAGAACTTGTCAAATATACACAAAGCCCTGAGCTCCATCCTAGTACTTATAAGAAGTATAAGAAAAGAGTTTTATTACATTTATTTAGTGTGCATATGTCATGGTACACATGGGGAGGTCAGAGAGCAATTCTGTGGAGACAGTTCTCTCCCTCCACTTTTATGTAGGTTCTGGGAATTGAACCCATTTGGCCAGACTTGTGTGGCATGCACCTTTACCCACTGAGCCATCTCACTGGTCCCACCTTTGACTTTTACAGGAGAATTACTACAAGCCCCCCGCCCAGGATGCCTGCCTTCCCTGCGACTGCTTCCCCCATGGTTCCCACAGTCGTGCCTGCGACATGGACACTGGCCAGTGTGCCTGCAAGCCTGGTGTTATCGGCCGCCAATGCAACCGCTGCGATAACCCCTTTGCTGAGGTCACCTCACTCGGTTGTGAAGGTCTATCATTGTCCCTTGACTCCTTTCTGGTCACACTGCAGAACAGACAGCCATGTTTAACGTGTATACTAGCAGGTGCATGTATGTGCCTGCATATCCTTAGGCTTGGAGAATCCTGGGAGGCTTTATACTGAGTTCTCTTGGCCTTCTAGAAACCTGGGCTTTGTGAGGCCCTAGACCACAGCCTGCTCTAATGTGCACGGTGATTGGAAGGTGCCGGGGTCACTCATGTTGGGATCCTTTGTAGGTGGAACGTAGGTATGGTGTCTTGTGTATACAGATGAGCTGGGCTGAATGACTTTTCCTCTGTCCTCAGTGATCTACAATGGGTGTCCCAGAGCATTTGAGGCTGGCATCTGGTGGCCACAGACGAAATTTGGGCAGCCAGCAGCAGTGCCATGCCCCAAAGGATCAGTGGGTGAGTCTGGTGCCTGGGTTGTCCTCAGGATAGGAAGCCAATCTGAAGCAAGTTTCTTTCTGGGCAGGTGGTCTGGGCATCCGAGCTTTTGAATGTCCACATTGAAAGAATGCCATGGGCTAGAGCAATAACTCCTTAGTTAAGAGTGCTGGCTTCTCTTCTAGAGGACCTAGGTTCAAATTCTCAGAACCCACATAGTGGCTCATAACCATCTGTAACTCCAGTCCTGGGGGATCTGAAGCTCTATGCTCGCCTCCCTGGCACTGGGCATGTGCAGACTAAGTGCAGACAAAACGCCCACACACATTTAATTTGATTTTAAACAATGGCATTAAGGATTATGTTGGGAGAAATGACATAGGTTTTCCCTCAGTAGCAAGATGCAGAACATGAAAGGGGCATAACGAATGAAAATGGCCTATGATTCACCTCACTGGTCCCTCAATGGTGGGACCAGTGGCTTTGGCACTCTCTGCCTAGGGCCTTGACAAGTCTCCTTGTTGTTTATGGCATTTGTGCTCTGTAAAATGGCAAGTAATGGTGTCTGTGATGTTTCCAATAAGACCTGTGTGGGGATCTTCAGCACTGACTCATTGTCTCACAGACTTTCCCACATGATTGCTTGTATTGCTGGGAACCCAGAGGGTCTGGCTTTGACTGTCAGGGCAACTTAGAGTTTTCAGCATGAAAGATGAAAGCACGTGTCGGCCCTTTCCTGTGGCCATGAACACGACTGGCATAGCCCCCACCCAGATCCCCATCTGTACTCAGTGCAAGGGTTGGCTAAGTTCATCAGGTTCAGGTGTTACTAGGTGTCCATCCATAGTATGACCATGCTTCTGTTCCCAAGGCAACGCAATTCGGCACTGCAGTGGGGAGAAGGGCTGGCTTCCTCCAGAGCTATTCAACTGCACCTCGGGCTACTTTGTGGACCTCAAGGCCATGGTAGGTCACAGCCTTTGGGAGGTGCCTCTTGGGTATGTGGATAGAGGTTGCATTTGGGTCAGGCATGGCTCCCAAGAGGCCATGAATCTGGAAGCAAGTGAAGAAGGGGCAACCCTGGGGTTTCAGAGGCCAGGGGCCAGGGGCCAGGCCTACTTCCTTTACTCAAGTTAGCCAGGCTGGCTTCAAGTGGGCCTTCTGTCCACTTGTTCTAGGTCTGTAGACACAAAGTCCTCACTGTCACCAAACTCAGGCATAGCTTCAACACACTCTTGCCCAGGAGGCCTACCCTTTTTTTTCTTTTTTTTTTGGGGGGGGTGTTTTGATACAGGGTTTCTCTGTGGCTTTGGAGGCTGTCCTGGAACTAGCTCTTATAGACCAGGCTGGTCTCAAACTCACAGAGATCTGCCTGCCTCTACCTTCTGAGTGCTGGGATTAAAGGCGTGTGCCACCAACGCCCGGCAACCTACCCTTTTCTTGCTATCGTTGTCAACTCAGGATCATTTCCGGGTTTGGGGTCTTTGGAGTACTATCAAGGAGACTAAACAGTAGAGAATTTCTGAATGGTGGGAAGGACCAAAACAAATGAAATCTATGTGCAAAACATTGTCATTTCCTTTTTGTTCCAGAATGAGAAGCTGAGCCGCAATGAGACAAGGATGGATGGAGACAGATCCCTGAGGCTGGCAAAGGCACTGAGGAATGCCACGCAGTACAATGGCACACTCTTTGGCAACGATGTGCGCACAGCCTACCAGCTATTGGCCCGCATCCTGCAGCACGAGAGCCACCAACAGGGCTTCGATTTGGCAGCCACCCGGGAGGCTAATTTCCATGAGGTAAGAGGAGGGTGAACCTAGTGCAGCAGGAATTTGTGGTGTCAGGAGCTGGGGAAGCGCCGTATGGGGTCCTGGCAAGGCATCCCTTCATTTCAGGTGTGAGAAAGTCTCGTTAGTGCTATGGCTAGGCGAGGGCAGACCACAGCCTTGATGACAGCAGCAATGCTAACAGTTAGGGACCACTCGGTAGGCCCAGTGTTCTAAGTGGTGTGTTTTCTTTTTAGCTATGCATATTTTCCTACCACTTGACAGAAAAGGAAACTGAGGCATGTAGAGCTTAGGGTTTGCCCAAGGGTTTGAGAATGACAGAGCCTAGGGATAAGCTCTTCAGCCTCCTACTGATGCCTCCTGCAAAAAGCTGTCTGTTTAATACCATTCAAGCCCCACATCCCATACCATACTGAACGCTGTCTCACATAAACCCTGGTGTGGTGGATGTAGATGTGGGGCGTCACCCCATAATTAAGTCCGCAGCTGGCCTCACCACACTCCTATCCTCAGCATAGTACACTGTGGTTCTCTTCCTGGTTTACCTGGGTGGTTCAGGGTCTAAAATGAAGGTGCATCCCTGCCTGCCTTCCTCCTTAGTGTGTGGGGATGTCTATGTGAGACCCCAGCAGGCCGCTCTCCTGGCAATCTCCGGCCTCTCATGTTGACTTGAAGCTCTCCTCTCCTGGTCCAGCTCAGTCCTGGTCAGCCCATGGCTGTCTGGAAGACTGTTTGCTCCATCTCAGGACCAGGCATCTGAGGACAGAAGACTGAATACCATCTGTCTGTCTGTCTAGGATGTTATCCACACGGGCAGCGCCCTCCTGGCCCCGGCGACACAGGCAGCATGGGAACAGATCCAGAGAAGTGAGGGCGGTGCTGCGCAGCTGCTGAGACGCTTCGAGGCATACTTCAGCAATGTGGCACGGAATGTGAGAAGGACCTACCTGAGGCCCTTCATCATCATCACCGCCAACATGAGTACGGACTGACCTGTGGGGAGGGCAGAGCACCTGAAGGCACAACCCCAGGGACTTGGGTCATTCTGTCCAGAAGCTGACCCCTGACCGTGAAGTGGGTGCGGGCACAGCCTCAGCCTGGGCACTCTGTAGAAAAGTGAGCCAGCAGTTCTAATCTCTAGTCTAGAAAATGAGTTGAGAAGTTGCCCAACTCAAAAGACATCCACAATCGCTGATGTCATTCCTGGGGCTAGATACTTCTGTGGAGGCGACACCCTGGGGTCTTTAGAGTCCAGCCGGCCTTTCAGATGCCCAGGTTTGGGATTCCCTACAGCACAGCCTGCCTGGGGACAATATGGCCCTCTCCCCATTCACTGCAAATGGAAGTACATGCCGGAGGGACATGTGGTGTTGGAGGTGGAGTCTCTCCCACCCTGGGCCAGTCTCTAAGCAATCTGCTACCAGCACACGAGGCCCATGTTACCTCAAATGCTAGTACACACTGCCCTGGGGTTGGGAGTTTAGCAGCCCTGATTCCTTCAGACAGAGAATGCCCCAGGTTTGTAAAAATCAGTTCCCAACCTGTCCAGACAAAGCTGGCACAAAGTCCCCAATCCCTGGGGATCTCCATTCTACAGACAGAGTTCCTTTAGCTGGGTGTGGGGCCAGCAACATTGCTTATATTGACCTTCTGAGATCTCCTACCCCACACTGTTAGGCTTTTCTTCCTGCCCCTTTTGCAGGTGGCTCACAGAGCACTGACCTAGCAGTGAGTCTCTTCTTGAGGGATTCTTTTGTTCTTTTGAGCCAGGGTCTCACTACGCATCTCAGGCCATCCCAGAACTCACTCTGTAGACCAGGCTATCCTGGAAGTCACAAATCCACCTGCCTCTGCCTCTCCTGTTTTGAGATTAAAAGCATGCACCACTATGCTCAGCTTTTATCAGGGAGTCTTAAACAGAGCAGACCCTGGCACATACAGGCATGACTCTACCTCTGTCAGAGTGGCAGTGGCCAGCACCAGCTGAGGATTGCTTGACTGTGTGTCCCATCCGGGACCTGTAGGTGTTCCTACAAGGCAGAGAACAGACAGACAGCGTAAGCCCATTATACAGAGCTTGCTCATCGCTGTCTGTTTCACCAACGATGGCGCAGCCCGTGGAATAGAGTGGGACAGCACCCCTCGCAGCCATGTTGTGGCTGGCCTTACCCCTCATATTCCACCCCATCTGAGTCATGCAAGACAGTGCCAGATGCCACCATAAAGAGCCAGATTGCCACACTCTGCCTTGTGTCACCCTCAGGTGTCCTGTTGTGACTTTCAGTAGGTTTCCTAGAGACAGTGACTGCGGTTGAAACAACAGTTATCGTTTCAGAACTGGGGGTTCAAGAAAGCTCTAACATTTGGTAGTGAGTAAAGGAATTGTCCCAGTTCTTGCAGTTGACATCTTCGACAAGTTTAACTTCACCGGTGCCCAGGTGCCAAGGTTTGAGGACATTCAGGAAGAGTTCCCAAGGGAGTTGGAGTCCTCCGTGTCCTTTCCAGCTGACACCTTCAAACCACCAGAGAAAAAAGGTAAAGCCACTTAGAAGCCCCTTGTTGCCTTGGGTGTCTCCATCCCTTGAGAGTGACCCTCTAAGAGTGCTGGGTGACTCCAACTGGGTCTGGAGCGAGCAGGCCTGAGTGATGTTCAAGTGTCTTCAATAAATACCGTGAGAAGTTCTCATGGATGTAGGACTGAGCTCAGAACAGGCCCCATCTTCCAAGCTGTTCAGTTGCAGCTTCCACAAACATGGTTACATGTTTGTTCACAGCTGACCACAGAAGTGATTGTGTTGTATGTGAGCTGAAGAGCATTAGCTACGAGTGTCCCTTGCATTCAAGCGTGCATACATTTTATCTATGCATTGGTGTGTGTATTTTCCTGATGTGCATATGTGTGGTATTCTGTGTGTATATATGTATATGATATATATATATATATATATGTACACATATATATATATTCAGTATGTGTATGTGTGTGCTAATGTGCATGTGTGTATATCCAGTATGTGTATATGCACATATATTAATGTTCATATATGTGTATGTTCAAAATGTTTGTATTTGTATATATGTTAATATGCACATATGTGTACACAAATGTTTATATTCCAGGTGTGCATGTGTATATGTATACATGTGTGTATTCTGTGTGCATGTGTTTATATCCTATATGTACACATATTTCATGTGCATATATGCATGCGTGTGAATAGTCTGTGTGTGCACATATATGTATATGTTTTGCCTACATTTGCACAGGTACACTCTTCTTTTGTGTGTGTACATGTGTCTGTTCCTTAGCATTGCTACCCAGAAGAGGACTCTACCTCTGTGACACCATCACCTATCTGCTTCTGAGTCTGCTTCTGCTTCCCAGTCTGCCATGGAACACTCCCCATGGAAGTGTCCAATCCCTAATTCCTCAGAACTGTGCAGGTGGCATTTTACTCATTGTGCCAAATCTGAAAGCTGCTAAAACGCTAGGGTTGGCCAGCACAGAACCACACTTCCTGGTTGTCAGGCAGCATGGTGTTTGATAGTCGGCTGTTAGGAAGGAGCCCCACTCAGGCAGGGAGTAATCCATCCCTTCCACATCCTGAGCCAGGGAACATAAAAACATCTCTCACCCTTTCCTCTCCCCCAGTGAGCCCAGGCACCGGGACAGCCCACACCAAAGTCTCCCCCATCATGGCTGCTTCAGTGAGTTGCAAGACACTGTAGGCTTGGGCACCCCAAATATGTTCTCACATGTGGGATATACACATGGCTTCTCTCATGTATGGTTGAAAACATGTCCACATTTAGCATGAAGTTAGAAAGCACAGGGCACAGAACCCATGTGTGTAGAAGGCCCCTGTCTCCTCTTGCAGTTCCCAGCACTACTCTGAGTGGATCCAAAGAGTATGGGAGGGACGATAATGACCCCAGCCATCCACCACATGACATCATTGCCACCTTAAAAACCCCATCCTGAGGCATCTGCTACATCCCCAGTGTCTCTCACCCTCTCTACAGCGAGTGCCAGAATAGGCTCCAAAGCTACACAGAGAAACCCGGTCTCGAAAAACCCAAAAAAAGATGGAGTTCCCAGTTGCTTCAATAAAGCAGCATGCCACTGGTCACTAACAGCTCCAACCCCAGTGGCCACTGTGCTACTTTCTGTCTGTGAATTTGAACTGTCTGTGGACACATCTTCAAATCTCTTTACAGTTCTTCCAACTCATACACAAGGTAGAACTGCTGGGCCATGAATTGTTAATGCTTGAGGGGACTCCATGTTAGTTTCTAGCTGCCATTTTTAAGAGTATAGAAACCGTTTGGTGGCACAGGTATCTGCCTTGAGTCCTCACACCCTGTTCTCACATTGCAGAAGGTCCCATGATGAGGCTGGCCAACCGGAGGGCTGTACCACAGGCACCACAACCAGAACCCAGGGCGGAGAGAGAAACCTCATTCAGCAGACAGAGGAGACACCCTGATGAACCCGGCCAGTTTGCTGTTGCCCTGGTCATCATTTACCGGACCCTGGGTCAGCTGCTGCCTGAACACTATGACCCTGACCACCGCAGCCTCCGGTGAGACCTGGGTGCAGGGACCTTGAGGGGAGCCATTTCCCCAGCACCCTGAGTCCTCCATGAATCTAAGTTCTAATCACCCTCTGTCAGCCACAATAACATTATGCCATGGCCCACCAAGGAGAGGTTCTGTGTCTGCCATGGTGCTCTGCACTGGGGTGTGCATGCCCTTTGCCTTGGTTCATCCTCACACTTACATCCACTTATTCCTTTGTTTGCACCAACATGCACCTCTGGGGGCTCTATTCTGACCCCCACACCATACCCAGAGGTTGTCATAGGTGATACCTATAGGTGCCTCTGCCTTCTGCTGGCCCAATACCAAGGGCCACTCAGCCAGTGTGCTGCACAGTACGTGTTGCCCCTGACCAGAAGGCTGCACACAGGTCATTCTTCTTAGCTACTCTATCTTGTGGGTGCTTCCTTGTTCCTCCGTCCTTGTTTTTAAATCACGCTTAGAAGTAAGTAACTGGGTTCCAGGCTGTGGTTACTTAAACAGATTCCCCATGTGGGCTCTGCTACTGCTCCCAGTGTCACTACCATATGCAATGCAGAGACATGCCTGCTCCTTAAAGTTTCTAAGTCCCTTTCCCCGGAGGTAAAGTTTCTAAGTCCCTTTCCCCTTTCTCCCTGCACCCTTTTTCTTGTTGTTTGTTCTGTTTTGTTTTGTTTTGTTTTGTTTTGTTTTGTTTTGTTGAAACAGACTTTCTCTGTGTAACCATTCTAGCTGTCCTGGAATTTGCTTTGTAGACCAGGCTGGCTTTGAACTCACAGAGATCCCCTGTATCTTCCTCCCAAGTGCTGGGATTAAAGGTGTGCACCACCTTGCTGGGATCCTCTCCCTGTACTCTTGAGAATACCAGCAGTGCAGCCCAGACCCTCCTGAGGGCAGTGCTGTGATCTGTGTCCGTGGCCTGTATTTCAGTCGCTCATTTGACCATATCCTCATAGTGTCTGGACTCAGGTTCTCCCAGAACATGAATTAATCATGTTTATCCCTATAATTATCCCTCTCTGCCACAGATTGCCTAACCGACCCATCATCAACACCCCAGTAGTAAGCGCTATGGTGTACAGTGAGGGGACCCCACTCCCCAGCTCTCTGCAGAGACCTGTCCTGGTGGAGTTCGCCCTGTTGGAGACCGAGGAGCGAAGCAAGCCTGTCTGTGTATTCTGGAACCACTCCCTTGAGTAAGTGGGTCCCCAAGAGCCTGCAAGCAACCTCTTCTATGGGAGCCCTGTGTTTGTACCGGAGGGCCTTGTTGAGGTCAGAAGGATCAGTAAGCAGAATGAAGGCTAAGTTTTCCTCTTCCAGGGCTTAACAAGATAGAAATCATCCCCCATTTTGCCTCTGTCAGTGTGTGCCCACATGTACATATACACACATGCACACACATTTATGTGTGCATAAATTCATGTGCGTGTTGAAGAATTGCTCATATTCTCATGGGAAATTATAGATCTATGCATGCACGCACACACACACACCCCACAAGAATATGCACAAAGATGTTCACACATAATATAGACATGATCCATGCACAAAAATACACAGATCTATGCATGCATAGGAATACATAGGGCATGTACACAAATGCACACAAAATACTCATACAGAAACAGGCATGCACATGCAAGGCTCCCTCAGGGAGGCTGTGGCAGAGATGGGCTGTGTATTGGTGGTCCACAGAAGCACCCATTTCTCTGCCAGGCAAGGCCACCTGCAGGATATGGGAACACATGCAGAGAAGTGGCAGCGTTGGTCCCAGACTACCCTCTACAGCAGGGTTTGTTTGGCCTATTTCTGGAGATAACTCCAAGAATGACCAGATACATGATGTATTGCACAGATGTGCACCTGCAACCAAGGAAGGGAGCAGGTTGACTTTAAAAAATGTAAGATGCTATTTCCCTGTACCTGTGTGACACTGGATTGCAAGGCTGGTAGCCTGTCTGTGGCTAATGCTAATGGGATCGTTATGTTTGTCTTTTTAGCTGCAGGAGTCATGGGAGATGCCGGGCCTTCACATCCTTGTCTCGCTCTTTGGTCTCAGTTTGGTGGCCCCTACATAGAGGGACATAGGGTGGAATGAGGAAGTGCTAGTCACCAGGCTTGGCACACGGTCTAAAATGAAAAGCATCAGTGCTTTTCCTCATCATGGGGAGCCTGGGATCCATGGGATCAGAACCCAAAAGCCTCTCTGTATGCTTAAAGCTGGGTGTGGATGTTGTACATCTGTAAGCTCATACCACAGGGACATTTCCCACGTCACGGTCCCCCAGGATTGAAAGGAGAGCTACCACACAAGTCTGTGCTGGGTGCAAGGCACATGCTTGGGCAGGAGCATTCATCTTCTCCTGTCTCGGTACTTTCCAAATGCCAGTTTACAAGTGAGCTCATTGAGTCGGGGGCATAATAGATCTTTGGCTCACAAAAGGGAGTGAAGGGAAGCGTTGGTGTCTGATGTGTGGGCCCCATGGCTGCCAGGCATGGCTGTCTGTCCCTTGCTATTTGTTTGAATAATGGCAATTAGCAGTGGCTCTAGTGATCTGCCCCCTGCTTTGTGTTGCTGCCATTATTCCCTGAACTGAGCACTCCTGGCAAAGCGCGTCAACCGTCACACCCCATTTTACAGATGAGTAAACTGAGGATCAGAGGGATTATAGGACTTTCCCAGAGCCACAGCGGGCAGGGCCCTCATAACAGCTTGTTATTTGGGGCTTTCCGTCAGTGAAACACAGCACTAATTGGACCCAGGCTTCTAGGCGGCTCCTGTAAAACATTGTGCAATGTGAACATGAAAGTGAACAATGGAGAGATGCTTATTGCTGAGGCCACCGGGGCTCCCATTTTGGCTGAACAAAGTGGCTGTCTCAGCCTCGGCTGCTGCCTGTGGCCACAGGCTCTTCTCTCTTTGGAGTTTTCTGTATCTGCCACATAACCTTTGAACTTGAGAGAACTCATGAGAGCCTATACCATCTATGAAAGGGAAAGGAGAGTTTCTACACAGTGCCGAATGTCTTTGAGGGCTGTGTCCTTGGTGACAGTGGCATGGCCCTCATCTTCAGTGTGGTGAGGAAGGTGAGAGGTTCAGGCTAGGAGCTGACAGGGATGTTGTGATACTCAGCACCCCTGGTACTTGGCCCTTCCTTCCCAACCAGATCCAGTGATGTCAGGATGGCCTCAGAGACGCTGGGCCTGGGTGAAGGCAGCTCCAGGGCTATCTCAATGGTAGATGGAAACAGGCTTACCCCTTTCTTTCTCCTCCACAGCATCGGCGGGACTGGAGGGTGGTCAGCCAAGGGCTGTGAGCTACTGTCAAGGAACCGGACCCATGTCACATGCCAGTGTAGCCACTTGGCCAGCTGTGCCGTGCTCATGGACATTTCCAGGCGTGAGGTGGGCATTTTACCACTACCCACCCCCTCGGCAAACCTGCATACTAATCCCTATGGCAACTGGAAATCTAGTCCCCAGCCCATCCTCTCAAGGCCCCCATATTCCTTGTGTTGTGCAAACCAAATGTGTCCATTGAAAGCAGTGTTCTACCAACTGCTTGAAGAGGTCTATGAGGAAAGCTTGAAGAGGTTTTAGGGGCCAGTGAGATGGCCCAGTGGGTAAAGGTGCCTGATGACCTGAGTTCCACCCCTAGGGCCCACATTGTAGAAAGAAAGAACCAACTCTTGCAAATTGTCCTCAGACCTCCACACATGCACTATGGCATGCATTTGTGCACACAAACACAAACATACATAAACAAGTGCAATTTTTAAAAGGGAAGGTCAGAACTGGATATGGCTCTTGTAAGTCCAACACCTACGAGGGTAAGCAGAGGATCGCTACGAGTTCAAGGTCAACCAGCTACAGAGTGAGACCCTGTCTAAACAAGTAAACAGAAAGTTGTCAAAGAGTCCAGGTTATAAAGGTACTAGCCCTAAAGGTGTTAGATGGTGTTTCAGGGTTTCTGTTGCTGTGATAAAACAGCATAATCAAATGAACTTGGGGAGGTAAGGGTTTATTTTATTTGGCTTATACTTCCACATCACAGTCTATCATCAAAGGAAGTCAGGACAGGTACTCAAGGCAGGAACTTGGGGGCAGGAGCTGAAGAGGCCATGGAGGGGAGCTGCTTACTGACTTGCTCAGCCTGCTTTCTTATAGAACCCAGGACCCACCAGCCTGGGGTGACACCACCAACAGTGAGCTGGGACCTTTCACATAAATCATTAATGAAGACAATGCCCCCACAGACATGCCTACAGGCCAATCTTAGGGAGGCATTTATTGAATTAAGAGTTTCTCTTCCCAGATCTGTCTAGGTTTTTTGTCAGCTTGACAAAAATCAACTAGCATAGTGGTAAAACCTAGCCCCAGGCTCAGAAGTTTCTAGAACATTACCTTCTCTCAGGGCAGGGTCCCCCAGCCATGCTGGATCATGCTGCTTCTATACCCACTTTGAATGTCTCTCAGGCCACACACTGCCCCCGAGGACAAAGATGTGAGGAGAGGGAAGCCAGTGACAGGGAGATGCTACTTCCGTCTCATTGAGAATGTGAGCTGGCCATCGTGGTGTGATTGCTGCTTGGCATAGTAGGCTCTGAGCAGCCATGGCACACAGCTCTGTTACTACCTTCTGGAAGGTACGGGATAACCTGTACCCAAAATGTCCAAACTGCCCAGGATTCTATAGTCACACTAAGCACATGCCTGGAGACTGACAGTGGCCAATCACATGTGTATTTTACCTGGAGTTTTAAAGCTATGTTAGTCACCCTCAGTTGCAAGAGGCTGTATGTTGAGGGTGAGAAGGAAGTGCCAGCCGCAGGATTCTGCTGCCAAACATGACTGTCTAGGCTCCACGTGACCAGAGCTGAAATTCCAGCCTGTCTAGTCGGGACACCAAGGGAAGCTTAGACTCTCACACCTTGTACCCACTCTCCTCATGGGTTCCGTCTAAGGACCACATGAAATAACACAGCCATGGATAGGTGAAGAGCCCCTCGCATGCATTAAACAGCAGTGAATGGTGCTGTGTCACAAGTTACTCAGTCTCCTTGTAGGGTGCCTGCTGAGTAGGGAGGCAGTGCCACTGGAGACACATGGGATTTGCATAAACTGAGTCCCCTTGGCAGGTCTCCAGCTTAGGATTTGGAATGACTGTCTCAGTCATTCCTGACAGCGGGTTTTATGTAGGAGGGTGTTTGTTTGTTTGTTTGTTTTTCATGTTTTTGAGGAAGGGTTCTCATTATGTAGACTGAATTAGCCTCTTGAGCACTGAGATTAAATGTGTATGCCACACTGGCTAAAATATATAACACATGGGCTGGTAGCATTAGTACATCCCTCTGTTGGACTGCTGTTGCCACCACTCATCCATCCTCAGAGATTGCTTATGATCCCAAACTGGTCCCCTGGTCTCCTGCCAGCCTTTGATATCTAATGCCCATCACAGTATTTTGTCTGTGTTGTTCAAGCATCCATCAGAGCCCACTCCTCACTTCTCTTTAACCCACCTGCAGCATGGGGAGGTTCTGCCCCTGAAGATCATCACCTATGCCGCCCTGTCCTTGTCCCTGGTGGCCCTCCTGGTGGCCTTCATCCTGCTCTCCCTTGTCCGGACACTACGCTCCAACCTGCACAGCATCCACAAGAACCTCATTGTGGCGCTTTTCTTCTCCCAGCTCATCTTCATGGTCGGGATCAACCAGACTGAGAACCCGGTGAGAATACTCTCCTAAGCCTGCCACAGGCTTCCCTAAGTGATGTCACCCGGGCATGCTGTCACCTGGGTGTGCTCTCAGTCATCCTGGAGCATTGGAAGAGCCCTACCTGCCTTGTGTCAGGGAGTCTCTGGGGAAGCCGAGGCTTTATGACCCATGGAGCTGTCCCTCTAAGGGCACGGTAGGGTCCTCCAAAGATGACATATACAGTGAGTCTCACCCTCTTGACATAGGCATTAGTGATTTCATAGGTGCTGTTCTGGTTCTGTTTCTTGCTACGAGAAAACACCCTGACAAAAAGCAACTTAAGGGAGATGGGGTTTATTTGGTTCATGATTCCAGGTCATAATCAGTCATTATGAGGAAGCCAAAGCAGGAACTCAAGGCTGCTAGTTACTTCATATGCAAGCAGGTTTAGTGCTCAGCTAGCTTTCTCTACTGTTATACAATCCAAGGCCCCCTGCCTAGAGAAAGATGCCACCCACTGTGGGCTAGGTTTTCTCCCATCTATTAAAAGTCAAGATAATCACGCCCCCAGACATGCCCGTAGTTCTACCTGACCTTGACAGTCCTTCATTGAGATGGCTTTCCTAGGTGAGTCTAGCGTGTGTCAAGTTGACAATTAGAATTAACCATCAAGGCTTTGTAGTCATATGCTAAATCCCAGAGTCCTGTGGGCTACAGTAGCTTTAGTGGATAGTGGTGCACGGGTTCCCCACCCCTCTGTTTTCTCCATGCCTATGACAGTCCTGGACTTTGCTTGAGGAACAACAAATGCATAGAGCAAGGAAGTGGTTTCTAGATGTATAGGACCAAGGAAGAGAAAGGAACCAGCTGGGAGAGCAGTAGGGGAAGAGGAGGAGAAGAGAGGAAAATTGGGGAACCTCCAGTGTAGGATTAAATGCATGGATACTGAGTGTCGGGTAGGTTTGTTGAATGTTGCATTGGATCCTGGCGGATTGTATGAGCCTGAGAGGTGTTGCAGAACCTCACAGGGGTCCTAGCTGCTCATGCGGGTTCATGCACTTCATGCTCATCAGGTCATCAGGGTAGAGTAGTGTCCCCAGACTGGAGCGCCTCCCCGTGTTAGCATGCAGAAGCTAAGTGTTACAGAGGAAGGACATGGAAAACAATGAGAATCCTTCCCTGCACCTATACAGCTGGGTCTGTGACCCGCAAGCTCCCAGGGTTCATCAGCAAGGCCTGTCCAGGCACAGCTACCTGACACATACTCGTCTCTGACACAGGTGATTGGTGGAGTTTGCCACTGATGTAAAGATAGCCCACAGGAGGGATATTTGTAAGGAGCACAAAGACCGACAGTCATGAGATGTGACAGAGAGTGCCAGCCTAGACAAATCCAAGCATCTCTGATTATGAGGCTGAAGACAAATGATTGTATCAGAGACAGAGGGCAGCTATGCCATGATCACGAGTCCACACACCGGGACAGTAGATGCCTGCTATTCTATGTCTCTAGTAAAACAAACTCAAAATAAACCTATAGAAGACGCAAGTTTGAGAAAAATTTCTAGGAATCTTAATGAAGGAAAAATGTTAATGGAAACATCATGTCTGACCTTGCAGACAAGGTAAGATGGTGCAGTGGGGGCCAAGCCTGATGACCTGAGTTCCATCCCCAGGATCCACATGGTGGAAGGATCAAGCACACTCCCATCCATTGTCCTTTGACTTCCACACATGTACCAGTGGCATGCATGCTCGACATACATATGCACACTCAAAATAAATAACTAATTAAAAATAATATTGCACAGGGTATGGTAAAATCAAAATAAGGAGTTGAAATCACATTGATGATGCTAGAAAAAAGGTAGTGGGGGCTGGAGAGATGGCTCAGGGGTTAAGAGCTCTTCCAGAGGACCTGGATTCCATCCTCAACAGCCACTGGTGGCTCATAACCATCTGTACCTCCAGTTCCAGGGATCCAACGCCCTCTTCGGGCCTCCATTAGCACTGCACACACATGGTGCACAAACATGCAGACAAAACACCCATATACATAAAAATAAACATTTTTTAAAGGAAGCCTGAGATCCAGGGAACTAAGGGGCTTTAGCAAAGGAACACTGGGACCATGAAGAAGTTTGTGGAGGGGAGAATAAGGCAGAAACCAAGTGGAAAGGAAGGTAATAAGAAGATAAATAGGCATAAGGTGTTATTTGAAAAGGACAATTTCTAACGTGAAAAAAAGCACAAATAACAAACACTGACACTGAGAAAGGAAGTAAGAAGGCAGCTTGAACAGTTTGGGCCAACACCATTGAACCCTAGCTGAGTGGTCGCATTCTCACCTAAGATAAGCTGGCACTGGGAAGGCATCAGTACCTATATGTAGATGATGGAACCCAGCTGGGTTTATTTTAGGACAGTCATGAAGGAGATTTGACAGCATGTAAACCTATAAATGTCATTCTTGTCGCCACAATGATCCAAGTTTCCTTTCACTGTTCGGACACAGGGGCTAATGTAGCCCAGGTGGGCTTGAGTTGGCCGAGGCCCAGCATAAACTTGAAGTCCAGACTCTGGCTTCCACCCTTGGAGTGTTTGGAAATGTAGACCCGCATACACGCACTACCTGATTTTGGCAGTGTTGGGGGTTGAACAAACCTAGGGCCTCTGGTATGAGGTCTTCTAACCACTATATTTAAGGATAAAATATTTTTCTTAATGCAGAAAAAATTGATAATTTTTACACTCTTTCATGAGTAGAAAGAAGGGGGCAGGATAAAATCCTCTTTGAACAAACTAGAAAAGGAAACTCCTTAACCTAGGACAAGGACTGGCACACAAACACACTAGCATAGCAGGGAACAGTGGACAGTCTTGGCTGTGGTTCCTAATGGCAGGAACCTGCCTTAACTACAATCTTTTATTCACTAAGGTGTGGGAGGAGGGCCTCAACGGGGCTGCATGTAGAGAGAATAAAAACTCTTAACAGATGGCCTGACTGGCATGTTGGAGTCCACAGAAAATTCTGAAAGAACCTGCCGATAAAACCTGTGCACAATTCAGGGAGTTCAGCAACCTGGGTGTAAAGACAACTGCACTCCTGTTCACTGGCCATAGCATCTAGATGTAAGGAGCAGAGGAGAGGCCAGGCCAGGGCATCCCTTTGAGAGCATATTAAATCTGTCTGGGAACGAATGGAGAGCTGCTGTGACTGAGCTACATGGAGTGGGGCTGGGGAGCTTTTATAGTTCATTGGTGGTTGTGGCATTTGTCCTCTAGGTGATAGGGGTTCTGGGAGGGACAGACTGGTGTCCAGAGATCATGTCTTAGGAAAAAAAGGAGCAGCCCTGAGGAGGCAGCACAGGTCACTGCTGCTGACAGTGTCAAAGTCTTTGATGGCTTGATGGAAGGCGAAATTGTAGAACACAATGGGGTTGTGACTTTGAGTGGTCCCAGCCAGCCAGTGGTGGTTTTCCATATTTCCATGTAAGAATTTCAAAAAATAGGTGAGGTCTAGCCCGCTTGTTGGGAATTTGGGGAGGGACAGTAATTACAGGTCAGCTCTGCTCCTATGAGGGCTATGCCAGAAGCTCACTTACAGAGTTAACCCATTAACCTCCTGAATCTGAGAGGCAGATGTGTCAGGAAAGACAGTCTTGACAAATGGAATCACCCACAGGACCACTCAGGTGGAGGTGGTAGAGTTGGAATAGGTAGTTGGCTCTTGGTGTCATCTCCCTGTAGACGCCAAGGAGGCCTTTACTATGTAGACTTTTAACTACCAGAGGTGAGAGCTACCATTAACCCATTCATTCTAAGTGTGTTGCCTGCCCTGGACTTGTTACAGTGTGCACTCTGTGTATGCTGTTTCACACCTGTGACTGAACAGTGGCTGACAGCCTGGAGTGTTAGGAGCTCCGCAGACCTTCACTTGGGCATGCAGATGGTCAGGGGTTTCCCTGACCTAGACACCATCATGCTTGCAGCAGCCTCTGGTGCAGGATGGTCCCTATGCAGTGGTCACCTGTTCCTTCAGCCTCACCCTGGCCTCCCAGGGGTGGGTACTATAGCTGCATTCTGTTTCCACGTGGACTTGTCTCAGGTCCCATGGATACCAACCCAAAAGATGAGGTCACATCTGCACATGGTACCTCCTCCTGCATATGTCACAGCGTCCCTGGGTTGTGTGATAGCAATGTAAGGCAAGTACTGTGTGACTAGTTGTTGGGCCGCACTGTTTAGAGGAGGGTGAAGGGAGACCAGAATGATGCATACTTAGTACCGGTGTGGTTCTTTTTACTTTACCCTAAATGCTTGTCATCCTTGGATGCAGATAGAGCCCTTGGGCATAAAAATGCAACTATACATCCAATCTACGATGATTCAGAAATACCTCCCACCCCTACCTGTTGGCTGGCAAGGAACTGAGTGAGGGAGCTGTATCACACCCTGAAGTGCCATGGCAACCAGTCAGAGCTCTGTGGTCCAACACAGGCCTGGTAGTTGGGGTCAGGACAGAGGCCAGGGCAGGAAGGGGGAGGGGCTGGTAGTTTTAAGGGCTCTGGGGTAGAGGAGGGTAGATGCAGCTGCTGGGAATGATATAAGTAGGTGGCAGCTGGACACAGCTACTCGGGATGCAAAGCATAGAGCCCAGGAATGGAGACTTGCTCTCCAAGCCCGGCTCTGGGATAGAAGGGGAAGATGGCTGCCAAGCTGGAGTTCCCCAGCAAACACAGAGACTTTCCTGAGTGGCCAGACCCCTCAGGAAAGAAGGCAGACGCTGCCACCTCCTAGGCACAGTTTTCAGGGCTGTCCTTAACCCAGCCCCATTGATGAACTTGATGGCTTTCCTGCAGGCTCACAGAAGCACAGGGTTGGGTCAAGGACAAGGATCAAACCTCCCTGCCACTTCCTGAGCCAGACATTGTTCCTCCCAGGCATGGACACAGGAGGCCTAACTTCCTCCACGTGCATAGCCTGGGTGAAGGCTCAGTAAGACTCATTTGGGGTCCTGTAAGTGTGCTTCTCCAAGGTCTAGGTAGAGGCAAGTACAGTCAATGGCTGCAGGCCACCTCCCTGCAACTAAGCATGGCCTCTGGAGCACAGAGAGGCCACCACTCATGTCTGACTCGGCGCCTGCCTGGGACGAAAGCTTTCCGGGCACCAGTGAGCACACACCAGGGAAATGCATTCTGGGAAGGTGTGCTGTGGCAGGGGCTTGGCAGTGTGCCTGCATTTTATCTAAACTCACAGTCCTATCTCTGGGCGAGGCTGTTTATCTCCCAGAAGCCTGACAAGCTGAAATGATTTAGTGTGTGTTTGCTCTGTTCTGGAAAATCGAGTTTAGTGTAGACGTGTGAACACCCAACCTCGCCAGGTCCTACTGTCAATTTCTAGCCCTTCTTTCAAACAGTGATTTGTTTTGTTTTGAGGGTTTACTTTTGCGCCATTTAAAAAAAAAAAAAAGCAGCCAAACTTCTCACCCTCACCCTCCAATTGAACCTGCTGAAATTCCCACTCAGGAAATGGCATATGGTGTGGTGTTAATCCAGCTCAAGCTCGCCCCTTGAGGCTGGCATTCTGTTGCCAGCAGAGGGCATGGCCCAGATGTAGCACTGTTTTGTCTTCAACTTTGCAGTGTAGGTGACAAGTGTTCATGTTCACATAATTCCATTGTACTGTTTCAGTGTCATTTCCGGAGAGCACCTGGCCTTTGGAGGTTGACCTGGCAGCAGATGGTTCTGTCATGGACCCCTCCAGTCTGTGTTCTATTGACCTCCCTCAGTGCAGTGACCTGGTATTTGAACATAGCCACATCTAGAAGGAGGTTGAGTGGTGGCTCTCCTCCTCCTCCTCCTCTTCCCAAAGAAGACACTGAGGCTGGCTGATAGTCAAGGGCAGAGCATAGGACTGTACCTGCCAGTGTGGGTCCCATCTGTGTGGTCAGCAGTGGGCTTTGATAAGGTTGTGGACATCTGTGGGGCTTGTGACCAGAGTGGAATCCTGCTGTGAGTTTGGCCCAGCTGTGTGAGGGTCAGTTGTGGCTGTGGTTAGGGTTGTGGCTCGAGGTAGGGCTAGCTTGTCCAGGTGGCCAACTTGAATAGAGCCATATTCATCTCCTTCCTGTAGGGAGTAACCCTAGCCCCGCCCAATGGACCTGGGGCAGGTACCAGGTGGACCTGGGGACTCGCCCATAAGGGCGGGGTGAAGGAAAGCCGGGATGACGTAAGAGGGGCTTCTTAAAAGGCTGCACGTGGGGACCGCGCGCTCTCTTTGTTCTGGCTGCTCTGGCTGGGTTCTTAACCTAGCTCTGGCCTGTGTTTCACCCGGCTGTGCTTGGAAATAAAGAGACTTTAATCCAATACCTTCCTTTCCCTTCCCCCTCATTTTTCACCCTGTCCTCCTTAACTTCCTGTTGGGAACTTGCTATCGCCTTCCAGCCGCCTGGCCTGGAAGCCCGGTCTAGGGCAGGTCCTCTGGAAAGACCCACAAGCAGCTGCCCGGACCACATCTTCAGGTCCCATTGCCAACCACCTGAGCTGGGTGTATACTAAAGCCCCCTAGGCTGAAGTGTGGGAGCCCAGCATCCCTGGTCCTTCCTCTCACTGTCTTCTTCCTGGTACTGCTGGGTCTTCTGTACCCAGACAGGAAGAGCTGGCTTCCCCAGCAGACTCACTACTGAAGGTATGCCATCCTTCAGCCAGCCAGTATATTGAAGTTTCATTTGTAGCATTTGGCCTTTGGCCTGACACACAACCCTGTCCAGGTAAAGGCACACAGGTGGGACAGTCCCCTTCTTCCCTGGTCTTGGATTAGCAGAAAAAAAAATCAAGACATTGTTCCTACTGGACAGAGAGGGCCCTGGAGGAAGTGGCCCCCAGCCCCTGGCTATACCCATTGGCTGTAGAAACCATGAGGTGACAGTTCTGGGAGCACAGGCCGAGGTCCCAGCTTGGGACTTTTCAGCCTGAGTGAATACAACTCCATAGTGTTTTCATTAAGCCTGGAGTCAGTATTTGAAGATTAGAATCAGCTCTCAAAAAATACATTATTTCCAGGCTCTCAGGAAGACTAGTGCTTGTGTCTTGTGACCCCAGCCTGAGGAGGGGCTCTTGGGTGGCTCTCCCATGCCTTCTTCTACCATCTATATCAGGAGAGATGCAGTGTCCGCTTTGTTCAGCTGAATCACACGGGAGAGGAGCTCTGCTGCCCTTTGGAGACACTAGAGCCCCTGCCATTGCAGAATAGCCTGATTTGGTCACTTGAAGGTCACCCCTAGGTTTGGACTCCGTCTGCAGTTTCAGAGGGTGCTTGCCAGCCTGCCCCTTAGCCATCCCAGGGCCCTGGAACTGTCTGCTGAGCTTGCCCTTCTCCACCCAGTTTCTCTGCACAGTGGTCGCCATCCTCCTGCATTATGTCTCCATGAGCACCTTTGCCTGGACCCTGGTGGAGAACTTGCATGTCTACCGCATGCTCACAGAAGTGCGAAACATCGACACTGGGCCCATGAGGTTCTACCATGTGGTGGGCTGGGGCATCCCTGCCATTGTCACAGGTAAGGACACAGGGCAGCTCTCTCAGGTGACCTGTGTTAAAATACAGATTTCCCCTGAACCATCTGTCCTCATTTTCTCCTGGCCCTCTGTATTTAGCTGTGGATAGAAGAGTAGCTACTCCCAGCCCATAGGAGATGGGTCTCTCTGGTCAGGTGTGAGCTGCTGGGCCAGGGTACTTGGGGTTCTTTGTGCAGTGCTCAGTTGGTCACAGGACGAGTAGGTGTGAGTGAAGAGGTGGGAAATAGATCACTAAGGGTGGGCCAGTGAGTGTGCAGACGGATGGAAGGGCATGACTGTGATCAGTCAACATAACAACTGGATGACTCCCAGCTATTGACTGTCTTATACATACCTCCTTGTCACACCTTTTCTTTCTTTCTTTGGTTTTCGACACAGGGTTTCTCTGTGTAGCCCTGGCTGTCCCAGAACTCGCTCTGTAGACCAGACTAGCCTTGAACTCAGACATCTGCCTGTCTTTGCCTCTCCAGTTGTCTTTACCTCTCTAGTTGTGAGATTGAAGGCATGTTCCTGGCCTACACTTTTCAATAACTATAGAAAGCCAACATTTGCCTCCTGTTGAGGAAGACCCACACTTCCATTCTCAACAGGAGGCATGAACTCCCTTCCCGGCAGACCCTGGTGGGCATTCCAGGCATCTGGGCATGGTCTCCAAAGCCCCTAACGTAACTCATTAGGTTCTAATGTAACTCATCCTTACTCTAAGGGACCCTGAGTGACTTTCATACTTTCAGACATGTGGGTGGCAGAGGGAGGGTGGCAGGCACCTCGTGTTGCTTGATGGAGGTGGTCTCTCTTACAAGGTCAGATGTCATTATGAGAATACTGGCATGAGGGATGCCTAGAAAATGATGTCTGTGCCTCAGTGTAAAAGCCATCTTGAGGTGTCAGTGTGAGGCCTCCCCAGCAGCCTGTTGAGTTCTGAATGGGAAATGCCACTGGTTCCTGAGGGTTTGCAATCCAGAACTAAGCAGTTCACAGTTTATTTCAAAGTTTATTTATTTTTTAAAACATACATCTTTTAAAAGGTCATAAGATTATGCCCAAGGACCTTCAGGCAAATAAAGTTATTAGCTACAGGCAGTGGCTGCCTCCTGGTCACAGAGAGTAGCCAGCCCCTGACTTAATTTAAGGAGTTTAGAAGTATTTCTCTCTGTCTCCTTGATCTCTGATAAGGGTAGTTTGAGGTCTCTGGACGACTCTGCCTATCTGGCTTCAGCTCTCCTCCCGGGTAGGTGGGTGACCAGCCAGGTCTGTGGCTCTCACTCTTCTCTGTGTCTCCAACTCACACAGGACTGGCTGTTGGCTTGGATCCTCAGGGATATGGGAACCCTGACTTCTGCTGGCTGTCCCTTCAAGACAGCCTGATCTGGAGCTTCGCTGGGCCTGTAGGAATGGTTATAATTGTGAGTATTATGAGTTCCCAGACATGCCACTCAGGACACAGGAGCCCATGTGCTCCAGGGTAGGCTGGCTATGGTCAGCAGTTCCTCAGGGTGGCCAGGGTTAGCAGGAAGGATGTACCTCATAGTAAGTCAGCAGAGTTCTCAGGCTGCTCTGGGACCCCATCTTTAGACCCCCAGGTTCTGGGGCCCATTTCATGCCCACTGGAAGACCTTCACGCACAGGCAGCCTAGAGTGGCAGCCTGAGGCCTACTATAGCATGGCCTGGTTTAACTTGCCCGTGGCCAAGGCCTCTCATCCCACCACACCTCCAGATATGGATGACAATAATCAGAAGTGTTTGGCTGGTGAGGCTCACCCTGGAGACAGCAGAAGAGCCTGAAGCTGCTATTCTTGTTTCCTAGATCAACACGGTCATCTTTGTCCTGTCTGCAAAGGTCGCCTGCCAAAGAAAGCGCCATTATTATGAGAGAAAGGGGGTCGTGTAAGTTGTGGCTGGATTCGGCTTGTGGGTGGGATGTAACACTGAGCCAACCCCACCAGGCCTTTCAGCTGGGGCCTGAGAACCCCCAGAGGTAGAGGGTACATGTTGGGTCAAGTCCCATATGAAAGTACCCATCACCCAGCCTGGCCTGTTAACCACATTACCCACCCCAGGGAGTCAGCCAGAGGATGAGGGTGAGCACTGAACCTCCAGGGATGTGGCTAGCATGGATGTGAGAGACGCATGGTGATTAGCCCAGCAGGAAGGCACGGACAGTGGGTTCAGGCCCTGAGATAGGCTAGGCCATAAGAACTGGAGGAAGAGGAGGGACATGGGTAGATAGGGTCCTGAATTCAGAATCGGACTCTTGTTCAGTATTGGGTGGCATCTGGCAAGTGGGCTGGGAATGGAGCTTTTTGTTTGGTTGTGGTGGTGATCCTGGGGCCTCAGGAGTGTTAGAAACCCCCTGATGTGTAGCCTAGGAGGGGACATGCTGAGTTTTCGTTAGTGGGTGTGTTGGGGAGACGCTCATCATACTACATAGAATTAACATAGTATCCAAGAAGCAGGGTGAGAAGAGAGTGACCATAAGGGACAAAGGAGGGTGCCAGGCCCCCCAGCCTGAAGAGGGAGCTGAGTCTAACATGAAGAGGGAATGAATAGAGTCCTGGCCCAGAGGCTGCAACTTATCCTGAGTCACTTCACCTCCAGGTCCCACTCTGGCCCTAAGTCACACGGCCACAAAGCTCTTCCACGACTCTCTAAAGTAGATGTGCAGTTGTCATCTGCTTTGACTAATGGGGTGACTGAGTCACATGGTAGTGGAGGCTGGTATATGACTCTGTCTCTCTGGCCTTAGCCACTTTGCTCTGCACCACTAGAGAAGCTAGCATGGTCTTGCACAGCAGCCATGGGACCTGAGTCACGTTAAGCGATGTTGCAGGCAGTGGCTTGTTTCGGCATTCGTTTTAATTGTGTTATCTTCTTAAGCCAACACCTCTACCAAAATAACTTCTGTCTGCCTTGTCCATGGTGGAAGCTACGCTTGGGGTGGGGCTGTGGGTGGATGGACAGACAGACACACATATGGTGGTGGTCTGAATGAACCTGAGGGAGGGCAGGAAGGACCTGCTCTCAAGCTGCCCTTCCACAGCTCCCTGCTGAGGACTGCCTTCCTCCTGTTGTTGCTCGTCAGCGCCACCTGGCTGCTGGGACTACTGGCTGTAAACAGTGACACTCTGAGTTTCCACTACCTCTTTGCTGCCTTCAGCTGCTTGCAGGTAGGCGCCAGCAGTTACCTACTGGGGTCACTCTGTGACCTCTGTCCTGGGGCAGCTCTAGTGAGAAGGAGGTGGCGGAGAGCCTTAGTATGTGCACTTGCAGAGGTTGTCCCAGCCCTTCCCAGCCCTGCCTCCGGGCCCTGAGTCTGTCAGGACATTGCCGTGGCTTGGGCAGGACAAAGCTTGTTCCCGCCTCCCCCCATCTCCACTGCTGCAGGCTGGCCCAAAGCCCACTGGTGTTCTCAGGAAATAGGGGAAACCCTTTATGTTTCACACCAAGTGCTGCCTAGCAAGTTTATGGCATAATGTTGAGGACCCCTGATGGCCCATAAGGCTGTGGACTGTGTTGCCCTAGCTAGGTATCTTAGCTGCTGAGGCTCCCCTGAGAAGAAAGCAGTAGCTCTACGTGGAGGGGAGGCCTCGTGGGCCTTGGGGCATCTCCTGGGTCGTGCCAGCCATGCTGCTCTGAACTAGGCTTTTCTCCATGGACAGCCAGGTGCCTGATGCAGCAGCATCAGGACCTTGAGAGTCACCCTGACCTGATGCCCATCTCCCTCCAGGGCATCTTTGTCCTCCTGTTCCACTGCGTGACCCACAGGGAGGTGCGGAAGCACCTAAGGGCAGTGCTTGCTGGGAAGAAGCTGCATCTAGATGACTCATCTGCCACAAGGGCCACCCTACTAACGGTAAGAGGTGCCAGAGACCCCCCTCCAGGCCTGGGAGCCGGTAACACTGTTCATAGTAGGGTTGGGAGCTGTAAAGACCAAACAAACCATGCTCTGGTCTGTAGGCTTCATATATTGGAGCTGTTCACACACCACAGGGCAGAATTGTCCTGGCAGTTTCTCTGTCCAACTGTAGCCCCACTTGCAAGGTCCTTGGAGAGGCCAGGACAGATATCCATAGGACAACCAGAAGCAATGTCCATAGGGAGTGAGATGTTCCCGCTGTGTGGGCCAGGGAATATTCTCACTTTTGACACGAGGCTCCAGTTTGCAGCCCTGTCTCCTCCTCTCCCATGCTGGCAGGGCCAGTCAGAGTGCTGTCCTGGGGGCTGCTTGAGGGAAGTACCAACCTCTGTAGCTTCTGCTCACCAATGGCCTCCCACCCTTTCCCCCCTAGCGCTCCCTCAACTGCAACAACACTTACAGCGAAGGACCAGACATGCTCCGCACGGCCCTGGGCGAGTCCACAGCCTCTCTGGACAGTACCACCAGGTCAGGCCTCTGTACCCACTATTTTCTCAGGGTAAACAACACCCTAGCTGTGAGCTTTGCTGTTCCAGATGCCTAGTCTGCCTGCCCCCATACACTAGCAAGGCTGTTTTTGTCAGTTACTGCTGTTGCTACAGCACAAATGGGGTGGCTTTAGAGAAACTTTCAGAGCCTCCTGTGGCTTTCCATAGTACATGCTCTGGAACATTGACAGCCCATTGCTATCACTCAGGGATAGTGCTGAGCCTACCCCACTTCTACCCCGTCTAGGAATGAAGGGGTCCAGAAGCTCAGTGTGTCCTCTGGCCCAGCACGTGGTAGCCATGGAGAACCAGATACATCCTTCATCCCTAGGAACTCCAAGAAACCTCATGGTATGGCTTCCCCTGCAGGCTCCAGAACCCCTGCACCTTTCTTGCCTCCCTCTCCTTTCTTGACCCTCCATGGCCGAGGTACTGGACTGCCTTGGATTTCAGGGCTTTGTGAGGATGGGGGCCACCAGCTCTCCCCATCCTGGAAGAGCATCCTGGTGGCCTCATGCTCAGCTGGAGTCAGGGCCTGAGATCCCTACTGTACCCTTCCCCTGCAGGCCCTGACTCTGACTCTGACAGTGAACTGTCCCTGGATGAGCACAGTAGTTCCTATGCCTCTTCACACTCATCAGACAGTGAGGACGATGGCGGTGATGCTGAAGACAAATGGAATCCAGCTGGAGGCCCCGTCCACAGCACCCCAAAAGGTGAGCAGTGGGGACACAGCAGGCCAGAATGAACTGTCAACAGTGGGCTATGGGCATGCCTCAAGCTCAGATTGGAACAGAAACCCCACAAGTTGCCCACACCATGTGATGGGAAGGGACAGGAATTTGGGCGCTTACACAGACTATCATTGTGGAGGGCTGGACAAGCATGCAAAGAGCAGCCAGATGTGGCTCCCAGTGTTGGGAGTAGCAGTGGGGGTCACATACCAGGGTCCGCAACATCAAGATGCGTTCTCAGTGTCTCCATCTTTAGCATATGACCCCGCTAGTCCAGCAGGCCAGAATGAGGTCAAGGCAACTCTCAGGGTCTACCCGGCCTACGTATTACAGGGGTGTGGCTGTAAGTCTAACTTAGTGTCTTTCTTATCTCAGGAGATGCTCTAGCCAACCATGTCCCAGCTAGTTGGCCTGATGAAAGCCTGGCTGGAAGTGACAGTGAGGAGCTGGACACTGAGCCCCACCTGAAGGTGGAGACCAAAGTCAGCGTGGAACTACATCGACAAGCACAGGGCAATCACTGTGGCGACCGCCCCCCTGACCTGGAAAGTGGGGTCCTTGCCAAGCCAGTGGCTGTGCTTAGCAGCCAGCCCCAGGAGCAACGGAAAGGTACCTCAGGAAGGCCCTGCTGTGTTCCTGGAGCAAACCCCCATGCAGCACATGGGACAGGGGCAGGAGTTCAGCAGCTTGAGGGGGGGGCGGAGCCTGTGGAAAATTTGGGTTGGGCCTGGGCAAGCTGGCAAGAACCAGGCTAGGTACGTTCACTTGCTCAAAACCATCCATCCCCACCTGAGCCATTGCACCTGTGTCTGCCTGGACTGACTTGGTCACATCCCTCCTCCCAGGCATCCTGAAAAACAAAGTCACCTACCCACCACCACTGCCAGAGCAGCCATTGAAGTGCCGGATTCGAGAGAAGCTGGCCGACTGTGAGCAAAGTCCCTCATCCTCCCGCACGTCCTCCCTTGGCTCTGGTGACAGTGTCCGAGGCACTGACTGTGTCATTACCATCAAGACTCCAAGGAGGGAGCCTGGCCGTGAACATCTCAACGGGGTGGCCATGAATGTATGCACAGGGAGTGCTCAGGCCAACGGCTCTGACTCCGAGTAAGTAGCCTTGGATTCCAGGGCTTTGTGAGGGTGGGGATCACCAGCTTTCCCCATCCAGGACCCCTAGAGTCCCCAGGCTTCCCCTCACACCTGACTGGGAGTGTCTGCCCCTAAATGACTATGGATTCCATCCATTTACCACCGTCACTGACCCTCCACACGCCTGGCAATTCTTCCCACACACAGAGGCAGTAACGAAACTTCAATTTGAACCATCAGGAAACCATGAGGCCCAGTCAACCCTACAGACTGCCAGTCAAGCCCTCAGACCTGAAGCCTAGGACTCTGCTGCCTGTGGGGCAACAGGCCTTTGGTGTGAGGGTCCCTGAAACAGCAGCTGGCTCTACACAGAATGTCCAGATGGGAAGCCCTTGGCCCTCTCAGGAGCTCAGGGCCCACCAGACTCTGACAAGTGCCAAAGTCACAGAGATGTCTCAAGAGGGAGACATGAACTTCAGGCTAGCACAGCTCCATCCTCAGACTGCAGACAGAACCCAAACTATGCTGCTGACCTGGCCACAAGAGGCCTAGGCAGAAGCCTTAGTGCCTGAGCTGGACTTGGTGAATTACTACGTCAGGCCCTTTGGCTTGTAAGGGGTTCAGATACTGGACACAAGCCAAGACCCTATTGTCCCAGCAAGCATCTCCTTGCAGTACAAGCCTGTAGTCACCAGTCTCAGTCTCTGCAACGGTACTGTGTCTGAAATTGATGTTTAAAGTTGTAAATACGTATAAATCTGTCCTGGACTTGGAGAAGATGAGAACCTGTGTATATTTTACAATGTCCTAACTTTGCTGACACTGGAGAGCCATGAAATGGCATCTCAATGTATTGCCCAAGGAAGCTTGCACAGCTGTATTTGCATCTGGATTGAGACAACACAGCTGGTTGCTCAGTGCCCAGGTAGGGAGGGCATGGGCTCTGAAGTTGATACAGCCATCACAAACTCCTGCAGCTGCTTCCAGCCAGCAAGCTAAGGAGTGTGGGTGTTCTGCTGGCCTTCGGAGCACACAGATGTGTGCGATCAGCTCTGTAGATACAGGATGGGGCTGGCCTGTGAAGCGTGATTGCCACAGCTGACTTCACACAGGGTGAAATCCTGACCACTTGGCCATTTGCACACCCTTGTGCCAGGTTCACTCCTGATCCCGGGCTTTTCTGGAGCTTCCCAGGCAGCCCAATACTGCAGGGGGAGAATTTCTTTGTCTCTGCTCCTGGTTCCTGTAGGATCTCAGTGCTCATGTTCCTGATTCAGAGGGACCCCTGAGGTCTTCCAGGATGTCACATTCCTTCCTGCCAATGTTCTACTCTTTTAAACTCAAGCTCTCTGGGCAGAGAGGGGCTCCACCCCCAAAATCTGACCAATTACATCATTTTGCTTTAAGTGGCCAATTGTGTAGAGAAACAAAGCCACAGACCCACTTTTCAATGGTTACCAAATTCATTTTGGAAACTCATACCAAGGACTGCTGTGACCAGCCCACTGCAAGCTACCATGTGGCCAAGCCCAAGGGACTGGGGCCCAGAGTTAGTGAGACACATTTCCTTCAGCCTTCACTGTTGTTTGAATCAGGTGTACATGGGTGTACAGCTGCTCTCAAATGGGAGAAATCAAACAAGGACTCTCACACCGAGCTGCACTCTGACTGAATGCACAGCACTGCTAATGCTACATGACATGGTCTGAGGTTGCTCACTGCCACGGAGGCTGAAGGGAGGCGCCCCAAGTGGCCTCTGAGGATGGCATGGATACAAAGGGAGCTTCAGTCTCCAGGAGTTGGAGCACTGTGATTGCCACAACCCCATGCTACCCCAGAAGGTGGAGTTTTGAATTTGATCACGATCGTTACCAAAACAAAACAAAACAAGCTGTCAGTTTTAAACTGTTTTTATGACCTAAGATGATGTTATAGGTTCAACACTGGAGGTTTGTAACAGGTGTATTTATTACTGTTCAGCACTGGATGACAACACAGGTGAGACATCTATAATAAATTAAATTTTTGGATTTGTACCCATGCGTGCTGGGTGTTTCCTGTGCTCACTGACCCTGCTCCCTAAGGTGGCATGAGAGGAACTAGTGAAGACAGCCTCTAATGGGATGCAGGAAGCAGACAGGCCCATAGAGTATTGTTGTAATTTCCCATTCATGTGCAGGCCTGCCATGACACAGATGAACTTGCCCAAGTTTTCCAATTCTTCAGTCTGTCTTTATCAAACTGGAGAATTTAGGAAGATTTATTCCATGTGCATGGATGTCTGTGCCAGTACTCTTAACCACTGAGCTGTTGTCTTTCCAACCAGGGGACATTAAAAAAAAAAAAAAAAAAAAAAAGTGTTTATGTACAGAGACCAGAAAATGGCATCCAGTGTCTCTGTCACTTGCCACCCATGAGGCAGGGTCTCTCCCTGAACCTGAGGTTTGTGGAGTTTTGTTTTGTTGTACTGTTTTTCAGCTAAACTGGAGGCCAGCAAGCCCTACCAGTCCTGTCTCCTTAAGGAGATGGGACCACAGGCTCGTGCAGACCACACAGCTTATGTGAGTGCTGAGTCCAAGCACTGGTCCTCTGACTGCACAGCAAGAACTTCTAACCACTGAGCCATCTTGTTGCAGTCTCCAAATCTGGGAACTTTTTCATTATCTTTTCTTTCCGTTTTGTTTTCTGCATCTACCTCCTCCTAACACTGTAGTAACACATTAGACCCTTTGGTGCTGTTCTGATGTCCCACAGGTCCCCAATCTCTTGTTCTGCAGATCTGACACTCATGACAGTCATGGAGCTCACTCATTCTGTCCTGTGACCTACACTGCTACTGAGCTCATCTGGTGAGCTTCTTACATTTCCATTATGCTTTTCAATTTTACAATCTGGTCCCTCACTGTACCTACTGCTATGCATTTACCTTTATCTCCTAGGCACAGAGGTGTTCTAACCTCTCTGGTGTTGCACACATTAAATGACCTTAGGGTTCCACCCATCATCTTTCTCTTGGCTTTGAGAACTCCAGTGGCATCTAGAGTTCTTTTGAGCCTGGGTCTGGTTTAAAACTGCATCCTAACTTAGCAGCAACCTGGTGAGGCTCTGGTCACTATTTCCTAGCAGTGCTGTATCCAGCCCTCATCTCTCAGGGCCTTTATCTCGATTCCTGTCCAAAAAGGTGAGTTTCCCAGACTTTTAGCTCCCTATATTGTCTCACATATGTGCCCAGTGGTGCTACCTGTGGGGAAAACTGGGAGCAGAGAAGTACTGAGCACCCTTTCCCTTTGGCCCATGGGTCCCCTACCCCAGGGTCTCTACCTAGTGTTGCTGAACAAAGAGCCAGCCCAGGCCTATAGCCCATGGACACGTCCCCACTGAAGGTCATGTGTTTTTTTCCTCATACATGCTTGAGTACTTCTAGAGTGACATATGTGTCCACTTCAACCCAATGCCAAGCTGACAGGAAAACACTGGCTTCTACTTGGTGTGGACTCTGCCAACTAAAGGGTTATCTGACACATATCAGACTTCCAGATAAGGAGAGGACTAATTCAGAAAACTCTGCCTTCCTTTTGGAGAGAGCTCAGGCCCCAGGGAGCGGGGAACAGGGCTACCACTCTTCCCATGCCTGCTATGCCACATGGAGGCTCAATGGAAGGTGCACAGCCACAGTGGTCAGACTACTTGACAGTTTTATTTAATGCTGTTCCTGTGCCGCCTCCGTGCACTGCACTGTGGAAGAGCAGCTCCATCAGGGCCCTGGAGGCAGAGCCACTGGCCAGTGAATGCTTCTGGTGTACTGGAGCATCAGCGCAGAGACACTCCTTCCCCATGCTGCCCTGGCTCTGCAGCCAGCCCACTGATTCTGGCAGCATCAAGCATCATCACTGATCAACCTGCCCAAGATTGCTCTAATGCTTCCTCCCAGCGGCTTGGCCTTTGTCAGGGTGTCGGGTGCAGGCCTGGGCTGTCACTGGAGACCTCAGGAGCCACTCTGGTTCTGTTCTTGCCCTTCTGGAGTGTGTAGGCAGACGGCCCTAACCGTAGGATTTTCCCACTGCCAAGACATTCATCACTCTTGTAGAAGACAGCAAACTGGAAAGAAAGAGGGGTGGGGGAAGGCTCACTGTGGATGTGTCTCAGACTCCAGGGCAAAGCTGACCAGGCACCCAGCCTAACCAGGACAGTAATGTTGAGGCCCTCATTCTACTTCCCACTGCCCCACTCACCTGTCCCAGGGCAAGGCCCCGTACAGCCTTCACAGCTGTCACCCATACAGTGCCATCCTGGTTGAGTGTCAGCACACAGGGGACTGTGGGGAGAGTTATGGGATGGGTGAGTCTACTTTCACTGCTAATCACAGTTCTAGGGAGAAATAGCAGCTTGTGGAAGCAGGGACACCCAACATTCTTCCTGCTGGAGGACAGGACAGTGCCCAAAAGGCTCAAAGCTGCCCTGGCTATGAACATGACACCTCAGATTGGTATATACTATAACTCAATTCCTTATATGAGGACCCAACTTCCAGCAATTCTGACAAAATGACATTCCTGTACCTTAGGCCCCTTTCTGTGGCTGACAGAGGATAAGGAGTTTTTAGTTACACAATATCAATGATGGGAACTTCCTGATGTGCTCAAGGGTGTACTGTGAATGCACAGTCTCTCTTGTTTTGCCTAATCTGACCCAGGGAGCTTAGCAACAAGGGCCCCTTCCATCCAGTCACCTAGTGCCATCTGGTGGCGGAATCGGAAATGGCACTCCATCATCTTGTCTCTGACCAAGGTGGCAGGTGGTTCCTCAGCAATCCAGTGTACACGGTTGGTCCTGAGCAGGTCCCTGTACAGAGCTGGGTGGTCTACCTGGGGAGCCTGCAGAGCAGAGTGCAGACGCTGTGATTCTCTGAGAGGAGCAGCTCTCACCCCAAAGCCCTCAGCAGGCATCATAAGAACCCTAAAAGCATATCCACAGCTAATTATAAGCCAGCCCCGCTCAGCTGCATGTGTAGAATCCATTTCATGTCAGCTTAAGGGTTTGTTCACCCTGGTTTTCAGATGAGAAAGGAACAAGAGGGGCAGAAGAAGAGGGCAGGAGTGAGAGCCCCCCACTTCTCGTCACCCCTACCCGGTTATGCTCTCTGACGGTGGTTTTCTATTGCTAGAGATGTAGGTCAGCCACACAATTGGCCTCCTGGGATCCCACCAGCAACAGCTGGCTGAGGAAAGCAGGGCCTGAAAGATACAGGCCCCCAACCACCTGGGTGGCTGCAGAATTGTGAGGCTGGCCCTGCCTGGCCTGAGCAGTTCTCACTCACAGGATTGGTTCTGCTGTACCTGTTCCCATCACCACTAGTCTCTACACAGAAGAGCCCTGGTGCTGCCGAGAGTGGCCAAGGCGCCACTGGGGCAAAACTAGGAGCACTAAGTCCTGAGACTCTGGGTGCTAAGACACTGAGATAGCCTGGGCCCTTGAGCCAATGACCAATCCATCTGACTTTTCTCAGCAGGCCCATCTGAGAGCTTATGCTAAAGATGCCTTAACTGAAGCCTGAGTAGGCAATTCCCATGCTGCTCTTCTAGAAGACATCTGTGACGTCTGCAGCCTAGGGTCCTGTGGGTCCTTCAGCATCTCTGACCACAGCAGCTGGCAGCTTAGCCAGCCTCAAGCAGGGTTCAGTGAGGGTTGGGGGCTGCCATGTATGCACAGGCAGGCTGCCAGCAGCATCTACTCCTCCATGCCCATCCAGTTCATAACCCCAAATATATCTTGATACTGCCAATCTCCTCAAAGCTTGCCCTCTTGGAGAATTTCTATTCCATAGCCCAGGGTCTCATGTAACCAAGGGCATAACTTGGTTCTGGCTCACCTTGGTTCCAGTTAACTTGGTTCTCATAACTTGGTTCTCAGCCCACAAAGACCTCTAGGACCCTCCCATTGAGGGTGGGTGGG